TTATTTGATCAAATATAATACCAGTCTGTACATTGCTGTGAAGATATTTTTTAGATGTAATTGATGTTTAAATTAGTAGACTTTGCATAAAGCAGATGACCTCCATGATGTGGGTGGGCCTCATCCAATCAGTTGAAGGGCTTAAGAGCAAAGACTGAGCTTTCCTGAAGAAGTAGTTCTGCCTCCTCAAGACTGTAACATAGAAACCCTGTCTGAGTTGCCAGTTTGCAGAGTTCAGACTCAAGACTGCAACTTCAGCTTCTTTCCTGAATTTTCAACCTGTTTGGCCTGCTCTACAGATTTCAAACTTGCCAGCCCCCATCACCACATAAACCAATTCCTTAAAAGAAATCTTTGTCTCTCTATATATTCTATTGGTTCTGTTTCTATGAAGTACCCTGAATAATATATTCCCAATTTAAATTGATTTATATTTCTGATAGAAGCAAAAATAATCATTTTCTGATGTTTTCTGAGACCATTTTACCCTTTCTTTTCAATTCCCACTGCCAGCTCCTGACTTGTGACTCAGATGGATTCACCAGCCTCTGTTCCCATTACATACAGTGCTTCCAGGCTGAACTTTCTAAAGCAGAGGCTCTCAAATGACCCTGCAGAGCACAGTTTCCGCCTACTCCGGCAACATGTTTTGATGTCAAAATTGAAGAATTGCAGTCATTTCCTAATCTGAAGAAAAATTAAAGATCAAAATTTGTCATTTTAATGCCTGTGTTTATAATAGGCCGATTATTAGAGTAATGCATATTTGATGAAAATGGGTAATAAACCATATTTCAAAGTCTAAAAAAGTTGTCATTTTAAGCATTTTCTCTCCCAAATTTTTCTTAGATCTTGGGTGCCCACTACCACCTGTCTAGCCAAAATCTAGTTTGTAGTATGAATTAGGCCAAAATGGTTTACTTAGTTATTTGAAATCTAACATGTCAATCCTTAGGGTGTTCCACAAAGATAAACATGCCTTCTAAGTGCCAGCCACTTAATCCTGAGATGCACTGTCTTAAAATACAGCTCTGGGTTTAGGTCACACCCCTGCTTAAACACTTCCAGAGGCTCCCTATAGCCTCAATTCAAAGGTGGTTTTTGCTGATCGCTCCTGCTCAACCACAAGCTTGGCCACCAGCTCCTTCTTATACCTGTTGCCAGATGGCTCCACCTGTCCGCCCATTCGCCTTTGCTGACCAATCTCTCCAAATCCAAATTTCTCCCATCCTACTCTTTTGCACTTAAATTTGAGAAATTTTTGGCTTTCCAGCTCTTGGAGGCAGACTAATGACTTCCCTTTGCTGTATCTGCAGTGTTTGTCCAGCCCCCATAATTTCATTCTCTTCCTGGCCCACAGAAGAGAGGCTGGAGGACCCAAGAGAGAAAATGCACACTCCTTAGCTTGTATTCAGTAGGTACCAACTAGGTTCCAAATGGCCTGCCTTCCTCACCTCCTCTGAGTGTTCTCTCGTTTCTGCTTCTTGAACACTTTACCATCTTCTGAAGCTCAGCTGAAAAACCTTTTCTTTCCCCAACTACCCTTGCCCAGAGTCAGCCTGCCTTCCCCACCTCCCTCCCTCTGCCCTAAGCAAACAGCTCTCCAGGGGAGCCCACACTGTGTCCTGTTTGGTGTGTGTGTGTGCGCGTAGCTTCTCTCCCCTACTGGCCTCAGCCACGGCTATGGCAATCTATCCTGGCCCTCTGTTACCTTTTTTCTTTTTCTTTCTTTTTTGGTTACCTCTTGTCTGTACCCAAGTTTGTTAATAAGTTTGTTCTGAACCCACAGAGGAATAGATTGCTGTTCATTAAAAAACAGTCACTTTGACAAATAATTGCACAAAAGAAACAAAGTTATAAGCTTTCAAATTAATTGAAGAGTGACACACCTAGAATCAGTGATTACACTGTTGGTAGTTTTTGTCTTACTGAGAAGGAATGTGATTAGGGAGAAACCCTGAGAGGGAAAAGGGCCCTAGGAGAGGGAAGAGCCTCGACAGATGAATCTCCTAACTCAGGATCTGCGGGCTGGGGGCTGTGCATGGAGCCTGGCCCTGATAAAGTGGTGTGTCTCCCCTTTCCCCACTTCCCTTTTAGACCCCAGAGTGTATGAGCTCTTGCAAATACGGGGTTTACTGCAACTTCCCTGTGTTATTCCAAAGCAGTGCTTCCTTCGTATATATTTGGCTTTTTTCCCCTTTCCTTTTCTTTCTTCTTTTTTGTTTGTTTGTTTGTTTGTTTGTTACTTGGGAGGGCTAATAAGGAAGCACATGGGATGGAGTGAATTTTAAAAAGTGGGATGGTAGAGCGCAGAGAATGTAGCAGCAGCTATCCCCTTCAGAAACGATACTGCCCCTGAACGAAAGTGTCTAGTTCTCCTCAAAGTGTTTTCCACACCCAGGAATAGCCCCCGTGAGCCCCACCCTGTGGAAGGCTGCCCAGTGGCCTGGCACCATGATGATTTACTCAAATTGCACAACATCCTGGGAGTTCCTTTGCTCTGAGGAGTGCAGATTTTTTGAAAGGCTGGAATTTTATTTTTCTTGTACCTTCCTTCAGTTTGTTTTCTTCTAATAATTATTCGTCTCCATGGTGTTGATGTTTCCAGACACACTGAATAGGTCTCAAAACCATTGCTCACTAAACAAACCCATTTTCAAAGCAGAAGAAAACGAAGTGAGACTCACTCACTAGGCATGAGATCATTTTTTTTCAAGTTCATTACTTCTTTTACTCACCCAAGTTTATTGGACCAGAGAACACACAAACCACACCTCACACTTTATAGCTCATGCTAGTGAAATTTGGATTGACAAAGAGAAAAAAAAAAGGAGAAATAGGGGAAGAAACAAATAATAGGTTGTTATCTTAGCCCTGACTCTGAAATCCAGAACAAGATTAGACAGTTGTCTGACTTGGACATGAGGATAAAGATGGCTGTGGAGATGAGATCAGGACAATTGCTGGTCTGCTCAGATTTAGGGTATGATGAGTCCTGGGCATGATGAAAGGAGGAGTCTGTTCCCATGGCCGTGATACCCATGGCCCACAGCATCCATTAGTCTTTCTTGCTTTAAAGCCCTACACCTGCTCTGACCAAGGTGGTAACTAGTAAAGGCAGGTAGCTATTTTCATTAGAATTAATTCAATTGAGTACAATTAAAAATTCAGTTCTTTATTTGCACTAGCCACATTTTAGGTGCTCAGTAGCCATATGCGGTGAGTGGCTGTTGTATGGAATATTTCCATCCTCACAGGAAGTTCTACTGGACAGCACTGCTCTAGACCCCTGATGTTTGCTGTGCTGACCTCAGAGTGATCACCCACCTGAAGTCAAGGACTAAGATGTAAGCAACACTCTGGTGTTTGCAGCCAAGTAAGAACCTTGGGTGTGGGCAATGCCAGTGGGATGCCCAGCCCCAGCGCAGGAACCCTCTGGAGATTCCCTGGGGGAGGTGAGATTAAGGTACCTCCTCTTGAATTTGACCTGTGTCCCAGTTGGGGGGCAGTGATCCATCAGGGGTGCAGGCAACCTGCATGGCCATGAGGCCCAGATTCCAGCACTGGAGTCAAGCATATTCTAGAGCTGATCAGTGTTTGCTCTGAGTAAGAATATAAGCAGGTGAGGTCAAAGAAATTCTGAGATTTCATTTGTTTTTCTTATCTACATGGTGTCTAAGTTCCTCTTGTTATTTCCAAGTCTATGATTCTTTCCAGGTGGTTAAAAAATAGATGAGCTGATTGCTGATTTTTAGGCCTATTGTTGCAGAAAAGCCAAAAAAAAAAAAGCTGTTGTAGCAGAAAGCAAAATAAGAAAATTTCCTCCTCATTGAGAAAGGTAATCAAAAGAAAAACCATTTCTTTATAAAGTTCGAAAACTATATAACCCAAGTTAAATATATATATAATTGAAATATGTGTGTATATATATATAAACTGAGTTCTTTCTTATGCTTAGTTATTCTATTCAGACAAAAATGTTGCTAAACACCAAGAAAAAAAAGTTATTCACCACAAACCCTTGTATTATTTAATCAGTAAAAAGTTTTGCCTTAAGCTATTTTCTTTCCCAAGAAATCTTTAATAAAGGACCAAAATACTTTTTAAAAAAATAATAATTTTAAAAAAGACATTAAAATTAATAAAAATTCAAAATGTCTTAAAAATCTTTAAAGCCAGTTATCAGTTAAGGATTTTAAACCCATAAGCATAAACATAAAATAATACTAGTATTCTTTGAAAGTTAATCTATATTATGTATAGAAATGTCATTAGAACAAAAAGTTTGATTTGTGAATCCTGGTGGATCAACCAGGTCTGATCTGGTATTTTTACTCTGGAAAAGAGTAAAAATAAGTTATGTGAAAATAACATTGTGTAGATGCAGCTAATTTGTTGATCTTTTCAACATTTATTAAGCAGAGGAGAAACACCGGTATTATTGCTTCAGAGGAGAAACACCGGTAAATTGCCTTATAAATCCCATTACGAGTTGGCAGGACCAGATGACATCTGGCAAGAAGACTAGGGCACTTCTTCTCTGCTAGGCTAAGGGACAGATTCTTAAGAAATGTCGTGACCTGTTTCCTTAATTTTTCTTGTGCTTTTCGGACTCTACAAGGAAACTGAGGGTCCACGAAGGTGTCTGTCTATCTGGGATCTACTCAGGAGATTAAAGTTTTCACAAGGCTTTTGGATTTTTCTTGGTCTTTCTGTAAGGTGAACATCAGGATGGATGAATAACACCCCCCAGGAGAACTTTATCTCAGTTCTGAGAACAGGACAACACTGAAGGGGTTAAAAAAGCAGTCTGTACAGTTTAAACTAAAAGAGAACAGAACACTCACAATATCCTGAACTACAGAAAATGACAGGTTGTATTCATCAGGAAATTAACATCTTCCCCTCTCCCTTGCACTCAGCTAGCTCCCCTCACAGGAAAGCCACCCAACCCCTGAGAGTGCAGTTATCTTCCCTGCCCCGGGAAGGGGTCTACTCACCTTTCCCTCTCCTCCTCCTGGTGGCACTGGGCCGGCCTGCTCTGCACGCTGCTGCTCTGGCCTGAGGTGCTTTTCTACCTTGCACCAGCCCTTTGAGCCGTGGGGACCAGGGAAGGGTGGTCTGTGATTGGGAGAAGGCATCTCACATGGGCTGAGCCTGATGCTGCCTGAGCCTGCCTCACGGAGGCCGGAAGGAACAGGAAACTCAGCCAGCAGATTTCGGCTACTTTGGAATGTGTGATTCTGACAGATGGAAGTACCTTGACAGGGCTCAGCTCACCACTCCCCTGGATTCCTCGTAGGTCTGGGCTTTCCTGGAACACACACTCAGGGCTTTGGTTGTGACTTTGGTTTGATTTGTTTTTGTTGGTGTGATTCGATCCTTCGTTCTGCTCTTGTGCATTAATAGGCCTCGCTGCTGTTCTGACTGCTCAGTCCCACTGGCACGCGCTTCTCTGTCCAGGGCCATGTGTAGATCTGTTTCTATAACTGGCATACACTGCATTTACAGGGGGAGTAATTGTCCCAGAAGTGCTCACACTGAGTTGGCCCAAAGTCTCAGAAGGGGCCAGAGGTCTGGAAACGAAGAGATGGGGAGAAATTCAGACATAGAGAGAGGGATCAATTACTTGATGATGTCCAGTGAATTTCTTCCTCCCCTCCCTTCCCTCCTGTGTCTTTTTTCCTTTCCTCTGGAGCTGCCATGTGTCATACACAGCATCATCCACATCTGAACAAAAGAAGTGTTTCTTTCTATGGCTGAGTAATGTACCACAGAGAGACGCAGCGCAGTTTATTTAGGCTGGTATTGCTGATGAGTCACCGCAGGAATGTCAGAATTTACTGAGTACCTTAATCAGTAGCCTCGGGAGTTCTCATAGGTCAGGACCATCCCTGGAATAGGTTAGGCTGTTAAGGAACAGACTCTGCTTTGCCTCCATTTCCCTCAGTCACTCAGCAGCAGTCGACAGAGCTGATGGCTCCATCCTTCTGGTACTGCTTTCCTCTTCTGGATTCCATTATCCCATCTTCACTCTGTGCTTCTACTCTCTGGTTGTTCCTTCTCAGTTCCCATCGCTGTCTCTCCCCATCCGTGGCCTGACCAATTACACAGAAGACTCCAGGGCTCAGGTCCAGTTCCCAGCTCGGAATCTAGCTCTGAAACGGCACTTCCGTTGGGAGTCAGCCCCCACAACCGTCATTCATGCTCGCTACTTCCTGGTAGGAAGTTCAAAAGAGATAAAGTGTCTCTGTCTGGATTTAATGGTAATAGTAAGAATTCTAGACCTTTGCCTCCTTACAAATACAGCTGTATTTCCTTTCTTTTCCCCCGGAAACACTTCTTTCTTTCCCTGGCCATCAGCTTTTGAAGAACAGTGAATTCGTCGTGGCCTCTCTTAATTTGATATTTACTAAGTATATAGGCTTTTGGTTTTTTAAAGTTTTTGTTTATTTTATTAGACTTTGGGGAAAGAAGTTTCTGTATGCAATTTAAAGCTACCCTCTTAATCAGAACTGTTCTGAGAGCTTTTAAGACAATAAATCAGACTTTGTTGTTCCTCAGTTTAAGAGTCCAGTGGTTCTCTTTGCACTCAGCATAAGGTCCAGACTCCTCACCATGACTTTCAAGTTGCCATGTATTCTTCTTCAACTTCCTGAGGTACTACTTGCACCCTATGTATGTATGCCCTGACCACAGGGCCTTTGCCCTTGCTATTCCTGTTAGTGGAAATCCATTTCTCTTGGTGGTTTCCAGGGCTGACTCCTTATCATCCTTCAAGTGCAGATCAGCTCTTGCTTCCTCTGAGAAGACTTTCCTTATGTCCCTCCCTAAAGGACTCTGCCCTCTCCACACCAGTTACTTTCTCTCATATAATCATGTTTTATTTCCTTTGAAAAATACTCACACTTGGATATTACCTTGTTTATTTATTTGTTGTCTTTCTTCTGCTGCTCTTGCTTCTTCACCAAAACTAGAATAGTTTCAAATGAATGAATGAATTTCTGATTTGAGAGGTTTAGGGTAAGTTAGATCTACTCAGTCCTGGTGGTTGGGGGTGGAGGTGGGGTCAGGAAATTATTGCATTAAATAGTGCTTGGGAAGAGCCACACGTGTGTGACCAAAGTGTCAATTACAGGAAGGTATCTGCATTTCTTTAAGTATTGTCCTAAATTGTTCTCTGCCTTAAAAACAACATTCATTGTTCTATTCTGATTACCAAATGAATGTATATTCATCGTAGAAAATAAAAATCACTGTACTTCCTTACTCAGTGATAAACCCAAGAAGCATTTTGGTGTAGAATCATCCCTTTAAGAGCTATTTGAGGTATGATTACGTGTCAGGTACAGTACTAACAAGAATGAAACAGACAAAATCCTTACCCTCATGGCATTTTCAATCTTTCTTTTTTGCATTTCCTCCCAAGTAATTGGGATCATACTTACAGTCTTCTACACCAGTTATTTTGACTTACAATACAGTGCAGACATTCCCCTATGGAACTTTTCTTCAGCATCATTTTAATGGATGTATTGTATCCCACCGTGTGAATATCCTATTATGTACTTATTAAATCCTTCAGGTTGAAAATTCAGATTTTTCAGTTTTTCGTATTATAAATAATGCTGTGGAGAATATTCTTGTACAGAAAATTTTAAGCACAACTCATTATTTTCTTCATACAAATTCCTAGAATTAGAATTTCTGACTAAAAGGCATGTTCATTCTAAGGTTTTTGGATTTGTATTATCATGTTGCATTCCAGAGTGGCTGTAAAATGTATAGCCCCCACAGCAGTGTGAGAAAGTGCCCATTTCTCTGCACTTTAGGCCAGATTAGGTATCATCTATAAATTTTTGTTTACTAAAAATATTGAATGGATGTCTTTTTTTTTTAAACATCTTTGGCTATTTACATGTTTTCTTCAGTAAGTTTCCCATTTATGTTCTTGGCTCTCTTTTTTGACTGGGGGTATTTGTAATTTTAGGAATTGGTTTGTGGGAACTTACTACATGTTTAGGCTATTGACCTGCCATGTTCATTGCAAATATTACTCTCTATTAATCATTTGCCTTTTTGCTAACATTTTTCATAGATTAAAAAATATTTTGTCAATGATATTAATATTCTTAATAATTTCTGCCTTTGGCATGATGCTTAAAAAGGGCTTTCTAATTTAAGATTTCATATTTTCCTATTCTTTTCTTTCAGCCTGTCTCTTTTCTCTGTTTAACTCTATGTATGTAAATATGTATATAGTTATATATGTATATGTATGTTGTTGTATGATATGGGGTAGATCCAACTGTAGTCATCCAAATAATTAAACAATAATTACAGCAACATTAATGGATGCATAGAATTTCATTGCATGGATATGTCACAATTTATTTGATCAATCTGTGGTTGGACAAAATTATCCCCACTTTTTTCTCATTGTAAACATTTGATACAAAACTTCTCTATAAAATTGTCCAGGGTCAGTGTGATTTCTGGAAGTGTAATTTGACTCCACGCATGACTTCATTGTGGGGTGATTTTGGTGTTGACAAGGTGTGGCTCTGGTGGTAGGCAACTGAAATAGAGTGTAAAGTTCATGAGAAAGGAGGAGTCCTTTGTTACTCACAGCTCCCTGCCCTCCCACGTACCTGCCCACGCTGCACTCGGGGCTGTCCGAGGCACTGCCCGGAGAGCAACCCCCTGCGCCTCGCCGCCTCTGTGGGTTCTGAGGACAGGAGTCTGCTCCGGTTTATCCATCATTGCTGCCCCAGTTGCTTTCCGTCTTCAGAAATCATAAAAATCTCTGGTTTCTCTCCCTTCTGTTTTGAGTATTAAAATGGGTCTGCTTCTTTTTGTAAATATTTACTGCAATTTTAATGGAATTTGAGGAGGACTGCTTTTGCATTTTCAAAAACATTAAAACACAAAATTAGGCAGATTACTGAACTCTGCCTATTGGAATCCTCTCTGTTCACAATAATAGGCCACACACTACCACTGTCTATCTGGTGTTAGTTTGTTGCAAATTCTGCCACTACTACAAGGAAAAAATAGCTTTTTGAGAGCCTAATAAGGCGCTGGCACACTAATATTGTTTGCCACTCATAAAAACACAATTCTCTCTGTCTGAGTTTTAGCCTTACCATGTTTCCAGTCCAATCATTGGCGTGAAGATTCAAGCACAGCTACACAGCCGTCTGGAACCATACTGGTCCACACCCCGTACACAAAACTAGACACATGTGAGCACAAAAACACCAAGAGACAGTGATGCTTATGTACTCACAACTTCCTATTCACAAGACTAGATAGGTTGGTATCGTGTTAACAAAAAGGCTGATGACATAAGAGCAAAAGAAGGTACGTGGAGGAGACTGGGTAAGTAAAACAGAATGAGTTAGACAAGAAATAATAGGCTTTATCGTGGAAAGCATTTCCCCAAATATACATATATACACATATATATGTCAAATCATTACATTGTACACCTTAAACTTATATATATACACATATGTACGTACACATGTATATATGTACATTTGTATATATACACACATAATATGTATACAGGTATATATCAAATTATTACATTATATGCCTTAAACTTGTATTTCAATAAAGCTGGAAACACATGCACAAACGTACATACACACACATGAAATAACAAGAGGCTAATTTAAAAGAAAATAAAGCGTGTACAAAAGGCCAAAGAGTAAAACTAGGGAATTTGTAAAGAATGTGGGGAACAGGAAGATAATTCTCCTTGAAGGCTCAAGTATTCCAGTTTCTTTTATTTCTGATTCTGTTTCTGTTTCTCCTTCATTTTCCTCTGTTCATACAGTGAACTTAAAAATACTAGTCTCCACATTAATTTTTTAAAATTAATTGACCCATAGACACATAGAATTTATTGACACATAGAATTCATATGCCATGAAAGTCACCCTTTTGAAGGGTACAGTTTAGTGCTTTTTAGGCTGGTCAGAGTTGTGCAACCATCACCACTCTCTAATTTCGAAAGATTTTCGTCACCCTCAAAGGAAACCTCATTCTCATAGCATTTGGTCCCCATTCCCCCTCCCCTGCCCCTGGCAACCACTCATCTGCTCTCTGTCTGTCTCTATGGATTTGCCTCTTCCGGACATTTCACACAAATGGGATCATGTAACATGTGGCCTT